GCAGCCCCAGGGCCCCACGGTCCAGGGGGCCGCATAGTTTGCAGTATAAGACATTTCTTATTTTTACTGGTTAAAAATCAAATCAATAAAAATCCAAAATTTTTGCACTGGGTGAAGTATACATAATAGATTTAATTATATAGTATCATTACATAATAATAATAATAATAATAATGAGGTGATCCATAAATATTGAAAATAAAAAAATAGTAAAAAGAAAACACGGAATAACAATATTTAATTACGTACGAAATGATGGTGAACACAGAAAATGTCTTTCAAGTTGTTGTTTTCAAATTATTGAATTAATCATTAAGATTTAAAGAAATTATTGTAATATGTGAAGTAAAAAGAATGCATATATGCCAATTGTCTTTCTGCCTACACTCGAAGTGTACACCCAGCGTCATTAATTCTTACGGGGAATCACCTCGGTTGTCTCTGTTTCTCACATAAAGATATATAGATAAAAACAAGGATAACTGTGGGATTCCCCGTAAGAATTAATGACGCTGGGTGTACCACTTTTTTCACTCTATGCCCCATCCATATCATATATATTAGTGGTTATTAAGGCCGGGACAGATAGAGAACTTACGAAGAAAACTTAAGATGTAAGTCTGAAATGTTTACACCATTGCTGATCTCACAGTTACGGCATTTCATATGCGTTAACTAAGTTTACGGCTTACGTCTTAAGTTTTTTCTTCCCGGCCTTTACAGTCAGTACGGGACTGTGCCGCGGCCATTAAAGACTCCGACCTCTGGTGACAAACGTTTACACTAGAGCTTAAAATACACATAATGCACCAACCGTTGTTGTGCATTATGTTCTTTATCATCGCACATTTTCGTACACTAGTGTCTGAATATTGATATCGGTAAAGCATTACAAAATGTTACCGAGGAAACAACTAAGTGGTGCCGCAAAAAGAAAAAGTGTAAAAGAGAGAGAGGAATTTGTGAATAAACTGCCAAAACTAACCTCATTTTTTTCTCAAAATACGTCAAATCAAATGAACACTAATCTCATCAATTCGGAAACTACAGAGTTTCTTGAAACTACAAAAAATGCGGAACCTATTGAGAAAGTCAACGAAAAAATGGAAATGACAGAAATACGAGTGACCAAAATTACAGAAAACACCATTGTGGAACAATCACATAGTTCTTGTACTTGTGAGGAAAATTTAGGTATGACAAACATTTACGGTCTTTTTTTTCTATGCATGCAATATTAATGATATTATCATATTCCATACTAGATTTATTATCAAACTTTACGTATAAAAATAAAATATAATTAAAAAAAACATAATGTTGAAAATAAAAATGCTTGGAAATGGCAATGTGCACTCAACCGCAGTGATTCTTTACTTCCGATCCTCATGTTGTTTGTTTCACTTTCATATCTTTATGTAAAAAACAAAGGCAACAAAGAATGAGAAGAAAAAAAAACAATTGCGGTTGGCCGGGTGTACACGGTTAAGCCTATGGCACATAAGTGATCGTACGACCAAATCGTACGTCTAAACGAGTCGTAAAAAATCAATCTGCTTTTGCAGCAATGATGGTGTCGAGCAGAAGGAAACTGCAACTCGCCATTGGCCTCGCCCACGCCTCGCCGAGAGCCATAAACATCGTCCGAGTAATGTGCAATGCGTTTTCGCTTGTGTTACACATAATACTTTTTTATTACTGAAAATACGCGTTAGTACACAAAAATGGTCAGCGAACGATATAAAATGATCGAATATTCTTTGTGTATGCGCTGAATCTGGATTGCTTTACTTAGTCGTAATCGACACTTTTCAGACTGCTTTACCGGCACGTAAAGGCCACGAATTTCTGCATGCGTGACAAAAAATACCTTTTGTAATAATTTCTGTAGAACCTAAATAACATTTAAATATTTTGTTAACACTCCGGGCGTAGAACACGATTTTGCGCCATACAGCGAAATGTTCGGGCGCAAATTATCGAGCCCTACGTCCGTCGTATTAAAAAATATTGTATGCAACACGGGTGAAATATCGATTTCCGACGAGTGTGATTATTTATCCGACTTGTTACATAAATTACTATTATTAATAAAAACTATTTATAATCTTGGAATGGTTCGGTGTATAAGCTCTAAAACAAATGTTATATTTGAATCTTATTTAATGTTAATTATTTTTAAAATAAGTATTCTTCAAAATTCTAGGAAGTGTAACGGAAAATATGAGTAATCCAGATATGAAGTTAGAAATACCAGGTACACTTGCATTTTTATTATTTGCATGTTATTTTAAGCATTTCTAACATACGCATACGTCTTGTTTGCAGAAGTAACTAGTAGTGATCCGGCCTTATGGCCGTCTGAAATGCATGAAGCTGAAAGAGGAAAATATTTACAACTAGGTTGCAACTACTTTCAAAATAAGCATGCTAACTATACGTCTTCTCTAAGGATATATAAAACTCAGAACAGATCTTTTTCTAGTTCTATGTTTGTCAGAGTATTGGCAAATGGTGAAAAGCATGATAGAAAATGGTTGATGTATTCCGAATCAACTGGATGTGTATTTTGTTATGTTTGTAAATTGTTTTCTAATGCAAATAGTAGGGAAAGTAAATTTGTGAAAGGTGGGTTTTCAGACTGGAAAAAAGCTACTGAATCAATAACTTCGCATGAAAACAGTAAGGAACATAAAGATTGCTTGATTATTTGGATATCACGAACAAGTGCGACAAATTTAATTGACAAGGAATTGGCAACAACCATTCAAAATGAAACTCGTTACTGGACCGAAATTTTAAACCGAGTTCTTGCTGTGATTCGGTTTCTTGCTGAACGCGGTCTTGCATTTCGCGGAAAAAATGAAGTCGTCGGAGCTAGTAATAATGGCAATTATTTAGGAGCACTGGAATTAATAGCTCAATTTGATCCGTTTTTAGAAAAACATTTACAAATGCATGCCAATAAAGGTCGCGGTCATGTATCGTATCTTTCTAAAACTATCTGTGAAGAATTTATAAAAATTCTTGCAGCAAAAGTTTTCACAACAATTCTTTCAGAAATTAAAGAAGCTAAGTACTTTGGTTTAATAGTAGATTCTACGCCAGATCTTTCTCACATCGATCAATTAACGATAGTTATGAGATATTGTTTAAAAGGATCTATAATTGAACGTTTCTTATGCTTTATTCCAATTTACAGCCATACAGGTGAATCTCTAAGCACAGAAGTATTAAATTTATTAGAGAATAATAGTATTGACATATGTGACTGCAGGGCTCAGACTTACGACAACGCGAGTAATATGTCGGGAAAGTATAACGGCTGTCAAGCGCTTATAAAAGAAAAAAATGAATTAGCGTATTATGTTCCTTGCGTTGCTCACTCGCTAAATCTTATTGGTGAATGCAGTGTTGATTCCTGTTTTTATGCAATTAACTTTTTCTCGTTTTTGCAAAAACTATATGCTTTTTTTTCTGCTTCCACACATCGTTGGGATGTACTCATGCAGTATACTACAACAAGTGTAAAAAATTTGTCAGCGACAAGATGGTCATGTAGATATGACGCAGTTTCTACTTTAAAAAACAATTTTGATTGTGTATATAATGCTCTTAATAAACTGTCAAGTAACGAAGATGAAAATGCAGTAACTAGAAACAAGGCTAAATCTTTGCAAGATAAAATGGTAAAATTAGAAACTGCTATCATGCTAGTTTTGTGGTATCGTGTACTTCAACGGTTTGATGCAGTGAGCAGATATTTGCAAAAAGTTAATATTGATTTAGTTAGTGCAAAAAACATGCTTAAATCGTTGGCAGAATTTATTCGTACATTACGCAATGACTTTGACGACATTGAAGAATGCGCCAAAAAACTCAGTAATAATATTATTCAACATTATACAGCTGAAACGAAAAGAAAAATAATTAAAAAATATCCTGATGCTTCTCAAAACGAAATGAATACAGCGGTGGCTAGTCGCGATTCTTTTAGAACTTCAACATTTCTAATTATTATCGACAAATTATATGTTGAAATTGAAAAGAGAAGTGTCGCATACAATCACATTGCCAGCTTATTTGGATTTTTGACGAAGCTTCATATTCTCGATGTTGAAGAATTACGAGACAATATAACGACAGTTATCGAAACATATTCTCAAGATTTCGACGAGGGTTTATTTGATGAAATGAAGGCATTTATTTCCCTTTTAAAAATTTCATTTCACGAGATCCCGCATCCACCAGAATTATTAAAATGGATGCTGCTTCAAGATATTACGGAAGTTTTTCCTAACGTTTATATACTCTTACGGATCTACTTAACAATTCCTGTGACTAACTGTGAAGGAGAAAGATCATTCTCGAAATTGGCTTATATTAAAAATAAGTATAGAACGTCAATGGACGAACTTCGATTATCGTCACTTGCGTTACTGTGCATCGAAAGCGAATTAACAAGAAAAATTGATTTCTCTGATGTTATACATACATTTGCACAAGAAAAGGCAAGAAAGAAGGCGTTATGATATTACGTTGTATGATATTAAATTTATTGATAATATTACAATACTAATAAAAATTTATATAAGAAGCAACCTTGTTTGTTTTATTTAAATTTCTGATTATAAAAGAAGCAAAAAGATTTTTTTCACTTAGGAAATTAGTCAGAAAAGAAGTAAAACCTTATATACTAATAAAATTGTATAAGAAAATTAATATTTGTATGTGATTTTAATATATTATATAACATATAATATGCCAAAATTGGCGCGTGCGCTCGTACTCAGGTACACGCATATATACACATGTGTGCGCGCGATTTTTTTACGATTGTATTTAACCCTTCCACCACACACCTCCTATTTCAATCATCCACCACACATGGGGTCTACTGGACCCCAATGGCTAGAGCGGCGATTGCGGCAGCAATTTTGACTATTTTAAATTGGCAAAATTCATGGATGTTCTTGAATGTATAAATAAAAAGGTAGAATAGTCGAAAAAAATTAAAAAAATTTTTAACATTGTTAAAAAAAATAGGAAATGTGAAAGAAAAAATGGAAAAAATGACCTTTTCTACTTAAAAAATCATAAGTTTTTTATTTGCCTCTGCTTCTCACCTCATAAGCAACAAACGGGGATGCTCCCCGCGTGATCTGCTTCTAGTAGTGTCGAATAACCGATAGAGGGCGCCACAAGTCCCGTTTCAAATATTAAGGTGGTCAAATCGAAGCGCGAACCGGGACTGGGGTCCCTGGGACCCCGTGTGTGGTGGAAGGGTTAAACTGGGGGCCCCATTGCAGATATAGCCCAAGGGCCTCACAGTCTCTAGATCCGCCCCTGCGTCGGTCCTACTTTTTGGGTCAAGGAACTTAATCCTTTTGACCCGGGACTGGACCTTGTGCGATCTCAGGTATTAAAGGGAACGGGATACGAGGGGGCGATTTAAGAATTAAATCACACTTAGAGAGGAATCTTTTTGGTTGAGAATTACAAACTTACATTTATTCAATAAAATCAAAACTAATTTACATGACTAATTAAAATTATGTTTATTTACAGTAATTCTTTTTCTAGTAGCAAAATTGTGAGTGTGTGTGTGTGTGTGTGTGCGTCGCATTTTTTGGTCATTACAATATTTGTATGCGTGCGTACGTGCGTGCGTGCGTGTGTGTGTGTCGGAGAGGAAAAGGGGGCGTATAAATGTAGAATGTGTATAAATGTAGAATGGATGGACTCACTTATGGTGATGCGTGAGGTATTCGTTCTGGAAACGGATCGGTAGAAGCAGTTGTCCGTGAGATTCGGTTCGCAAGGGTGGCCAGACGTAACAGGCGGCGGCTGGGTAGTTTCAACGAACCCCAAGAATCACCCGAACACTCGAACGCGAGTACAGCGAGTTATACTGTTGCCGCGAACTACCGACGTGGATTCGGCTATTTTGACTTCTGGTCTGACGCTCTGCGCTTCCGCGGGACCTCTATTTATACCCCGAAAAAAGGGCGTAGTACCATTTGTCTAGGATGCAATAGTTAGTTGCAATGTCGCGCAAGATTTACGATTTTTATAACGTCCTATCGTTGTTAATCTAAAATGCATCGTTAAAGGGGTTTAGAGAACAAAAGAAATGATATATGTTTTCCCTAAAAGGTGCAAGATTGCTCCAAGCGAGTAACGAATTCCGTCATCCTCGCGGAAAATATGGCTAAGTAAACAGCCGTGAGAAGTTATCTCATGCTTTTTATGATTTTTTATGGCGACGCGGCGCCTGTTTTTTTAAGATGAAATTGTTGGTCAACTCGGACGACAGCTTGAATTTTTATTATCGTGTGACCTAGATCCATTTAGGGTGTCTTATGCAATCTTGCCACTTTT